AGACTGCTCCTCCTTCTTCTTCTCCCCACTAGCTGCAATTGTTGCAAAGTACTGGATGACACGCTTGGTGTTCACAGTCTTCCCTGCCCCGGATTCTCCGCTGGGAAGCAAAAGAGAGAGAAGCAGAGAACGTCTGGTCAGGCAGCAGGTCCCCAGGCACAGAGCCACCCCTTGGGAATCGGAGCAGGGAATGTACGTACGTGATCAGGATTGACTGGTTCTCGCGATCTGTGAAAGAGACAGAAAAAAAAAAGATGCTTTTATCAGGGATCCCATGTTCCAAAGATATGAGAGATTTAATGTTATGAAAGTTAACATTTCTACAGTGCCCTTTCTTCTGAATGCTTTTTCATTGGGTTTTTCTCCTTAATTTGAACTCTTCAAATACTCTGAGCATGAATTTCTGCAGAATGCAGACTGCATTCAGACTGCAGAATGCCTGGGCCTTCCAAACTACTTTAATGAGTGGTCTGGAGGTTGTATTTGAGCAGTGACGTCTATACTTCTGTACTAAACATCAAAAGATTCTGATGAGTGCTATTGTGTAACTCACTGTGGAAATTATAGAGATTAGTTATATATTTCCTATATGGCCTTGAAGATCTCCCAGCGCATTACTAAAAACTAATAAATCATTGTCCTCGAACATTATAAGAATTCTTCCCATTTCCCATTAAGAAAATACTAATTTCTCTGTGTAATAAAGAGGTCTATCCATTAACTACACAGATCCTAAGAATTTTGAACTCACTCACTCAACCCTATTGAATTTTTTTTTTGTGGATTATACCATGGTTGCTAGGGGTTATCTTTAGATTAACTAGTGAATTCAAAATAATTAAGTCTAGCCAAGACGGGAAGGAAGTTTGTTTTACTGTTTTGGTGGATTTATTTGATTTGATGGTTTATTTCTGGTGGTGTTGACAAGTCTGTTTTTAAAGGCAGTGCTTAGGAGGAAAAATAATGAAGAAGATAACTGTAAAAACAAAATATTAAATAGTCCTATATGCTGTTAATTTATCTGCTCAAGACTTAAACAGTAAAAGTGAAAAAGGAGAAAAATATATTATTTATTTTTTTCATTTTTTAGGAAGTCACTAAGATCTTCCTTTGTTCTTGTATTTTCCCAATAAATTTCAAATACCAAGAGCACTCTTGAAAAAAAAAATTGATTTGTAATCTGTCTTAATGAAACCAAGACACCAAGAACTTAAGCTACACTTTAAAGAAATGAATTCAATATTTCAGAGCTGTAATAATATATTTTGTGACATTTTGACTGTTATCTAAATAATGGGTATGAGTAGAATTTTTTTTCATGTAATCCAGAGCATCCTATTAATTATTATTAACTATAACCTTTTCTGTGTCGTTGTCTTTATAACCTAGACTTTAAAAAACATATATGACAGAAATCTGGCTCATGTGGAGTAGGAACAATGACAATAGTTAAAATACTTAAGGTTCGTGGTGAATATCACATCTCTGCACACATTTAATTTGAAGACCTCCCCCACTTCCCCAGGAATTATATTTCCAAAAAAAGAATCTGCAGACTTTGTAACTCCTTTAAGTTTCCTCACCAGTTAGCATGAACTGATAGGCGTTGTCAGAGATGGAGAAGATGTGGGGAGGGGCCTCCTGGCGCTTTTTGCCTCGGTAGGCCAACACCACCTCCGGGTTGTACACCGGCAGCCACTTGTAGGGGTTGACAGTGACACAGAAGAGACCCGAGTAGGTCTGCAAGGACAGGACACAGCAAGTTGGCTTCCATTGGCTTTAGCAGACTGGCTCTTCCTAGCGAGTTGCAGGAAGCCTGTGGCTGCTACTTACGTAGATCATCCAGGCTGCATAACGCTCTTTGAGGTTATACAGCAGGAGTGAGAAGTAAATGCTGCTCTGAAGCTTGTATTTTACTTACTTCTCCACCTTCAGTCTTGACCGTGACCTTCCCTCCTTCCCTGCTCTGGATTGTCCCTTTCACAAAGGACTCTTTAGGATGCACCACAAAGACTGATGACTTGGCATCAAAGGGCTTGTTCTGGGCCTCGATTCTCTCCTTTTCTGACTTTCGGAGGTAGGGAGCTGCCTCCCCAAAGGCAGCCATCTCAGCGTCTGGACCGCTCATGGTTGCGCTTACACTTGAGGTACGTCAACAGAATGGTCTGTGAAAGAGAAGATATGCGGAATCAATGAGGAAATACCTTTTTGGTGGAAGACAGAAAATCTGTCATGCTTTCTTCCCTGTGAATGTTTAAATAGATATAAACAAGACTAAAAAAAAAAAAAACCCACAATACTTTCAGTTGCCATGGAAAATTCATCCTGTGCTCTAAAGAACACAAATGCCATAATTGCCTAACTCAGCTTTCTAAAATTCTTATACTGTTTAATTTCTTCCTGGTTCTCGAGAATTAGTAGATCCTTGTATCACTTCGTCTGATAGCAGAGGCTGGAAATCAGTGACTTCTGTTTGAAAACCTAGTAATTATTTTGGGGGGACTGTACAGATGTAATATTCCAGGCTTAAATAGAAACTGAAAGCAAAATACTGCCTTCAAGCCCAGAGTAAAATCAATGATGACAGGGACAGCCCCTCATAGAAATGGGTATCCAAGAACTGTAGTATGTTAGGTAGAATGAGGCTTATGTTTTGTCCAGTAGCTCAGAGAAGCCAGACGCTTACCTTGAAATTTTCCGTGGAGACTGGGCAGAGCACTCCCTAGACACTTTTATAGAGTCTGGTATGCAGATGCTTCGGATGTTTCCTTTTCCCTTCACTCAAGATATATTTTGGCAAACCTTCTTTGGCAAAACATTATCTGGCAAACTTAACTAAGGGCATAATTGTCATTTGATTTGACTAGATATATTTAGAAATGATTTATATCTTATCATTCCTGTGGACACATTTACTATAAATAATCTAAGAAGGGTTGTTAATAAGGGAACCTTGATTAGTCAAGATATTTAGAGAGCTTGGAGGCAGAATTTGGATGTTCCTTTGCTCTCTGTACTGATAACTTAGTCTTTGAACCCAATGAGGGTTGTTTGGCACCAGTACTGCAACTATGCTTTAAAATGGGAATAATACCTCTTATCTTTTACAAACAATGCTGTAAATCTAAAGAATGCAGCATCAAAAAGTGCTTTGTATAAAACAGAATTTATAACTAAATGCCATTCAGTATTTTTTTACGTATTACGCTGAAAAGGAGAAAAGCAGATATGTATCGTAGATCAGGATTGTGACTATAATGCTAGATAGTGGGGGACTCCAAAAGAAAGCAAGTCAGGGCAGAAGTTCAATTTTGGATGAATAATTTATGCTTAGTAAGTAACAGATGAATCCTTGAGTATCAAAATAAGCAAAACCTGCGTGTGAGTGCATCAACACTTAATAATTTTCAAAAACTGATAATTCAACACGTACATACTAGAGGAACGTTTGGTTACAGTTTTTGAGCTCTGTAATAACTGACATTGAATTCCCACATAGTTTCACGTAAACTACTCACAGTGCCCATACCAGAAACGAGGAAATGACATAGCCTAATATGGAAACATTTCTGATTTTAATAGATGTAATGCTTTTGTTACAGAGCTGAGCTAGGAGTAATATGTAACAATTAATGTCTAGTACTTTTAGCAACAGAGAAGTCCGTAAAAGTCAAAATCGTTGCTGTTTCTCTATGTTTAGTACAGCTTCCCGCAGCACCTGCTCCACACCAGCCATAACTGCACACACGATCACACACACAGCATTCACCCCACATACCCTGCCTTCCAAAGGAGCCTCAGTCCAATAGCCCCATCTCATCACAAATACCTCACACACCTACACATTCTCAGTCCCAGCAAAAAGTGTTAGAAACACAGGACGCTTATCCCAGAGCCCTAGAGGTGGTAAGCAGTACAATGCTGATACTCTGAGGAAGGGGGAATTGGCTGGTAGTCCTGATCACCTCACCTCACTACTCACCTGGTAGTCCTGGCGAGTAACTGATCTAGTTTTGGGAAAAGGGCACTGTCACTTGAGCTGTTTTAAATCCTGACTGATCAAAACATGTTCATCTCCTGGTCATGTCATTTTGGTTGTTAAAAGCTCAGTGAGTAACAGGTACAGAAGGTCAGAAAATGATGTGTGGGATCTAAAGTAATATCCAGCACCAGGCAATTCCCTGTACATTAAGAGCCTGTTCAAAAGGGTGCTCTGGCTCTGCAGCACCCACATTTGGGGGTCCTGGACCCAGCCTGGAGTCCAAACTCAGAACCCCCTTCTGAGATCCTTGCTGAATGCATTGGGAAGCTCATGGAAATGCCCATGATAACCCTGCCAACAGAAAATCCAGCCACTAGGAAATGGCAAGCACAGGGGTGCATCTGAACTCTTGGCTCTCTGGATAGTCTCTGACCCCCATGAACATAGAAAGGAAGGCAATTCCAAGAGAAGATCACCTGTAGGTGAAAATAAAAATAGGAAGTTTTCAAAGGAGGATGCAGAAAACTGCTGATAGTCTCATAGCCCAGTGCTTCCAGGTGCTGGCTATGAAGGAAATAGGGCCAGGTGAACCTTGGCAGCTCAGGGCTGAAAGGGGAAAGGTAAGCCCAAGGTAAATAAAGATTGAATGATTGTGTGGTGCCATGGAAATGGCACAGCAGTGATATGTGTGCTCTAAACTGTATCTCTTACACACCCTAAATAAGATTAAGTATGATTTTACCTGATCAATCTGAGAAATAAAGAAGTGTACAACAGAGCTGACAGTTAATGGACATAATTAAAGTTAACCTTACAGCATTATCCGACATAAAATGGCATCTATCAGCTAATGGGGAAAAGAAAAAAAAATTTTTTTTTGAAAGAGTGAAAACACTGCAGTTATTCATGGTAGACAAGCAAAGGAATCTGTTCTTTATTCTCTAGATATTGGGGGCAATACAAAAGCTAATTAGAGAGGAGACGGGGGTTCACATTTTGTGCACCACCCATGTCACTTTGCTGCATCTTGACATCCTCACTCTTCCTCTTCTATCTTCTTGCTGTGAAACTCGCGGCTCTTGGCTCGGAGCTTGTTGACCTGCGACTCTGCAATGTCAGCCCGCTCCTCGGCTTCCTCCAGCTCGTGCTGGATCTTGCGGAATTTGGAGAGGTTGACGTTGGACAGCTCCTCCTGCAGGGGAAGAGGAGATGGTGGGGAACAGCCCAGGGCAGAGCTTTCCAGTACTGCTGCCACTGGGACCTGAGGGGCTGCAGTTCTACTTTGGGTGACACCAGGGAATCACCGACTTCTCAGTTGGTGGATGTGACCCTTGGCATTGTTCATAGAGTTCAACTGTTCACACAGTGCAACATGCTCAGTTGACAGCAAGGTCTTAGAGTACCAGGGTAAACCTGGTGGCCGATATGTTAGTCTCTGCAAATAGCCTTCAGTCCCTCGTATCTTTGCTGTGCTCAACTCTCCCTAACAGGCTCCAGAAGGAGGAGTTCCTTGTGGTGGGACAGCACAAGCTCAACCAAGAGGACTGCTCATGCTTCTGTGCCTCAGTTCCCAGAATCTGGCTCTAGCTGGGTCAGTACTTACAGCCTCCTCAGATTGTCTCTTGTAGGCCTTCACTTTCATTTGCAGCTTGTCCACCAGGCCCTGGAGCCTTAGAACATTCTTCCGGTCTTCCTCAGACTAGAGCAGGTGGTGAGGAGAAAAGAGAGCACATTGCTTTCCACACTGCAGTAGGTTAACAATTCCCCTTGGGAACTGTGTGCCAACACTCTGACTCCCTAGGAAGTAGGTGTGCCTGTGCCAGCAGAGAGCGGCCTCCTGCCTTACCTGGTAGGTCAGCTCCTTCACCCTCCTCTCGTATTTGCGCACACCCTTGACGGCTTCAGCGCTGCGCTTCTGCTCAGAATCAACCTCCCCTTCCAGCTCACGCACCTGCAAAGAGAAGCCCATCCTTGGTGCTTTGCTGGTAGTGCCTCATGGGACATGTTCCCCGATGCACAGATTTCAGACCTACCCTGGCCTCCAGTTTCTGGATTTGCTTCTTCCCTCCTTTCAATGCCAGCTGCTCAGCTTCATCCAAACGGTGCTGCAGGTCCTTCACTGTCTGGTCCAAGTTCTTCTTCATCCTCTCCAGGTGGGCGCTTGTGTCCTGCTCCTTCTTCAGCTCTTCTGCCATCATGGCCGCCTGCAGAGCAAAGGAACAGCACCAGTTTGAGACAGGACACATGTAGGGGCAGAATCTGTCCTCCACTTGATAGTGAAAGGAGTTCCCAACTCACATCTGTGATGGCCTTCTTGGCCTTCTCTTCAGCATTGCGAGCTTCCTGGATTGTATCTTCCATTTCTCCCTGAATGTGCATGATGTCTGTTTCCAGCTTCTTCTTGGTGTTGATCAAGCTGGTGTTCTGTGCAAAAGAAGGAGCATAATTTCTATTGTCAGACCTGACTCTTCTGCCTCAAGAAGTGAAAATTTAAGGGAAGTATTTATTGAAATCTTTAACTCAGACAGTCTTTAGAGACATATTTACAACCTGATGACTAGCTGGCCTTGTCTTGTGACAACATAGCACGTAAGTTTTTTTACAGTAATCATTTTTCATGTCATTCTAAATTTTCTCTTCTTTATGGGAGTTATTTCCGTCAGGGTTCCTCACCTGGGTATGGAGAAGCTGCACGCGTTCCGTTGCATCCATCAGTTCCTGCTCAGCCACTTTCCTTGACCGCTCCGTCTGCTCCAGGGCTGCCCGGAGCTCTTCTATTTCAGCCTGCAACAGGTTTGCTCTGCGCTCCACCATGGCCACCTGCTCCTTCAGGTCCTCCTGTGTCCTGAGAGCATCATCCAAGTGTATTTGGGTATCCTGTAAGAGAGGCGAGACAGATTAAAAGGACGCACAGCAATCCTGAACCTTGAAAATGCAAAGATGTGTATTGTTCTGCCTGTATCATTTTTTAATGGACCTTGAGCACTCCCTGTGCATTTCTTAGATTCTTCTGTGCATCTGCTGCCTGGCGGTTGGCATGGCTCAGCTGAATCTCCATTTCATTGAGGTCTCCCTCCATCTTCTTCTTCAGCCTCATTCCTGCTCCTGATCTCAGCATCCAGGCTGCTCTGCATGGACTCCACAACTCGGAGATGGTTTCTCTTCAGCTGGTCAATTTCCTCATCCTTTTCTGCTATCTTTCGATCAATCTCAGATTTGATCTGGTTGAGCTCCAGTTGCAGGCGCAGGATCTTCCCCTCCTCATGTTCTAGGGAGGCCTAAAGAAGTAGATGGGGACTAAATCTCCTGCTTACCTGCCAATTTCTCTTTTACACGGTACTTTGGGAAATCTGAGTTTGCTGTACTCCACAGCCAGGGCAGACAAGAACCACAAATTTCACAGCCAAATGTCTGCGTCTCTCATAGTTTTAGTGTGACTACTGTCACCAATGAGTACTGCCACCAAAGACTACTATCATTTACCTCTGCCTCCTCCAGAGCAGCCTGGATTCCAGATTTCTCCTGTTCAGCCTGCTTCTTCGCTTTCTCCAGCTCATGAATGGCCTTTCCACTCTCTGCAATCTGCTCTGTGAGGTCAGAAATCTCCTCTGTGGGGACAGAGACAAATGGCAGGATTAGGAACAGAGCAGGATGAAAAAGGCCCTGTCACATGTACGTGACATGCACCCTCACAAGACTGCAGCCACAGAGCCCTGAGGGTTGGTGGACAGAGAAGCTTGTGAGAAAGGAGCAGAGTGCCCAGGACTTACGCTGCAAGTTCTTGTTTTCGCGCTTCAGGGTTTCCAGGTGGTCCAAGGACTCCTCATAGGCATTCTTCATCTTGAACAGCTCCGTGCTGAGAGAGCGAGCCTCCTTCTGGGAGGCTTCCAGCTCAGCCTGCGTTTCCTCATACTTCTGCTTCCACTCTGACAGGATCTGAAGAGCAGCAGGGCCTGATTATGGACCTGACAATCACAAGGGGATGCTCTGTCCCCAGACCACAAGGCTACAGCCCATTTTACCTTGTCGAAATTCTTCTGCTTCTTGTCCAAAGCTGCACAAGCTGCATTTGACCTTTCCACATCAATCATCAGGTCCTCCACTTCACTCTGCAGCCTCTGCTTTGTTTCATCTTTGTCACTCTATGCTGGACCCTTTCTCGAAGTTCCACATCCCTCTTGCCCTGGGGAGCCCAGAACTGCACACAATACTCCAGGTGCAGCCTCACCAGAGCTGAGTAGACCTCCTCCCTCCACCTGCTGGCAACACTCCCTCTGATGCAGGCCAGGATACCTTGGCCTTCCTGGCCACGAGGACACACTGCTGGCTCATGGTTAACTTGTCAACCAGGACTCCCACATCACTCTCCCTGGAGCAGCTTTCCAGCAGGTCAACCTCCTAATCTGTACGGGTGCCTGGGGTTGTTCTGCACTTCTCCTTGTGTCTAAATGCTATAAGAGACAGCATTACCAAGTGCATGAATGCTATGTGGACAACTTCCTCTAGGTTAGAAACCAGGATACAATCAGCTGGGCTATGATTATGTGGTACTCCTGCCAGCAACACTTGGCTTCAGGGAAAGCCTTCCTGGAACAAAATTCTCGCCCAAAGGAGAAAGAACAACAATCACCTTTACTTCTTCATCTAGATGTCTCTTCAGTTCCTCAATCTGTTGGGTAAAGCCCTGCTTGCCTCTAGACAGCTGAGAAATCAAGGCATCCTTTTCCTCCACCTGGCGTGAATATTCCCCTGGGAAATGTAAAAGAAACAAGCAAAACTCTTATTGTTCTGTCACTAGCAATAGCATGACAATTGGTGCCTGTAAACCTGTTGGTGGCTTGGACAAGACAAACCACCACTTTGAACCCTTGGTGAACCCTCATGACTTGCAGGTTCATGCTGGGCAACTCGGGGATGAGAATGTCTCACCTGTTTCTGTCTGCAGACGAGCCCTGTGGGTATTGAGGTCATTAATCGTGCGCTGATCCTGCTCTTCCTTTGTCTTAATCTCACTCAGTTGGTCTTCCAGAGTGCGGCACATCTTCTCTAGATTTGCCTAGGCATCGAACACATGGAAGGAGGAAAGATGACTCTTGGTTATAGGAGGACTCTTATACGAGACCATGTTTGGTAGATGCAGCCTGTATGCCATACCATATGGCTGAGTTCAAAAAAACCCAAAGGCAGATCTATACCTTGGCTTTGGAGACAGACTCCATGTTACTGGCCAAGTCATCAATCTCCATCTTGAGCTCACTCTTCTCCTTCTCCAGCTTCTGCTTGACACGCTGCAGGTTGTCTATTTGCTCCCCGAGCTCGGCTGTGCTGTCCGCGTGCTTCTTGCGCAGGGCGGCAGCGGTGGCTTCATGCTGCAGAGTGGCCTCTTCGAGGTCGCGCCGCATCTTCTGAAATTCCGCCTCACGCTTCTTGTTCATGTCGATCTGAGCTGCCGTAGCTCCCCCTGCTTCCTCCAGGCGCTCGCTGATCTCCTCCAGCTCCCTGGAGAGGTCAGCCCGATGCTTCTCTGCTTTGGCGCGAGAGGTCCGCTCGGCCTCAATTTCCTCCTCCAGTTCCTCAATTCGGGCCTGCGGAACAGTAGGCACCAATCACACCCATGCCCTGCTCCGACTGGACCTCTGTCAGTGTGAGAGAATGGACGGAACAGAGACTTGCCTGCAACTCCTTGATCTTCTTCTGTAATTGCATGCCCAGGGCTTGTTCATCCTCGATCTTGCTCTGGATCTGGCTGATTTCAAAGTCTTTCCTGTGCACAAAAAAACCTGTGTTAGAGCACTCATGCACACCAGCACAGCACTTGTTCTTCACTTGTCCTTCAAGCATGCTTACTTCTTCAGTTTCTCATCCAGCTGCTGCTTATCATTTTCCAAGTCCATTATGCTGTCATGGGACAGCTTCAGATCACCCTCGAGTTTCCTCTTGGCTCTCTCAAGGTCCATGCGCAGTTTCTTCTCTTGCTCCAGGGACCCTTCAAGCTAAACACAAGGCCATGAATGTTCTTCCTGCCAGGTCTACCTCCACAAATGTCCTATCTGCCTACTGTGTGCATGTCCTTACATCATCCACTTGCTGCTCCAGCTTGGTTTTAGCCTTGGTCAGCGTATTGACTTTGTCCTCTTCTGCCTGCAGGTCATCCAGTGTCTGTTGGTGGGCCTCTTGGAGGGCTTTCTTCTCTTTTGTGAGCTTGGCGATGGTTTCATCCAGGGCTGCCATCTCCTCAGTGAGGTTTTTCACCTGCACATTATGAGCAAGTGTCCAATAAACAGACAGGAAACACATCTTTTGATGCAGTCCCTTTAATCACTTTGGAACGCTCAGTCAAGATATTGGTTTCCCTTTGGGCTGCCACGTTGCAAAACTAGCATTGTGCAAGGGATGTGTACAGAGGTTTGGGCTAAACCCTTCTTGGTGATGTCGAGTGAAAGGACAAAGGGTAACGAGTACACAGGAAAAAACTGAAACTCAGGAAATTTCATCTGCATATGAGGAAGAACTTCTTTACTGTGAGGGTGACAGAGCCCTGGAGAGGCTGCCAGGAGAGGTTGTGGAGTCTCCTTCCCTGGAGATTTCAAAACCTGCCTGCATGCAACCCTGTACAACGTCCTCTAGGTGACCTGGCTTGATCAGGGGGATTGGACTTGATGCTCTCTAGAGGTCCCTTCCACCCTCAACCATTCTGTGATTCTGTGATATCAGGCTGTGGGAGACAGTTCCTTGTCTCAGCCTTTTTTTTGTATTCCCAGGTCTGTACCTTGTTCTCAGTGGCATGCTTTTCCTTCTCAACTTTGGCCAGCGTTAGCTCAAGGTCATCAATATCTTTCTTCAGCTCTGAGCATTCATCCTCTAGTTTCCTCTTCTTGGCTGTCAGCTCAGCATTGATTTCCTCCTCATCCTCTGCTCTTTCAGTCACCTCCTTAATTTTGGCTTCCAGCTGGATTTTGGTTTTGATCAGCTGGTCACATCTTTCCTCTGCATCGGCCAAGCTATCTGCTTCCTATAGACAAAAAGAGATTTTCTGGGGTTATAAGATTCTGAAGTTTCTCAGCTCTGTTACCAAGTAGGCATGTGTGAGAATGCAGGCTGATGTGGCATTTCCATCCGAAAAACAGTCTCGTTCTTTTTTCTGTGGAGCTTTATATCTCCTCTAAAGGGAATAAATCCTCCCAGAGTATTTTTATCTATCTGATCTGTTTGTCTATCTTATTGTCAAAAATATATGCATTTATATATATTAAATTTTCAAAATATGCTTAAGAAGTTCATAATTTTGAGATACTCAGAAATTCACACGCATCGCATAAGAATGGTCCCTGAAACTATATCTCCTTAAAGAAGTATCAGCATCTTTTCCCTTCGTAAACAATGTAGGTTAGCAGAAATTCTTTAAATCATGCTGCTTCTGGTAGTATTTCATAATATCTCAGAAAAATAATGTATTTCTCCCATAAAAACGCAGCATGTATGGTACAGTTCTTCCCTTTTCAGAGATATGTTAAGTGTGATGGAGTTTTTCAATCTGTGCTTGCCAGAGACTAATGTGACCATGCTAACTCCTGGTCCTATGGACAAATAAATGACAATACTCACAGCCTGCACTTGGAGCTGCAGGTCATTTTTTTCCTGCAGCAAAGCCACCATTTTCTCCTCCAGCTCCTTCCTCTTTGCTTCAGACTTTGCAAGCTCTTCCTTGGTTTTCTCAAACTCTTCCTTCATATTGGCCATTTCCTTCTCTGATTCTGCGCTCTTCAGCAAGGGCTTGATCTTGAAGAACAGCTTCATCCAGGGCCAGTGCTTAACGTTCATGAAGGACCGGACATTGTACTGGATGCAGAAGATGGACTCCCTGAAATACAATTCATTCATCTATTATATACCTTATGAAAGGATTTATTGAGAATCTGTTAACAGACAATAACCATGAGATCAAATTCAAGGTAAGGAATGTGTACCTCCTCTCCACCATTCTCCGATATTCCACTCTCATGAGGAAGCCCCTGCACCTGGCTTGTATCATGGTCATAATCTCTGCCAGCTTTTCATCTCTCATCTCCTCCAGAAGACCTATTAGCCCAGCTTTGAAGAACACCTTGAGAAATGGAATATAGTAGCACATTAACCTCATGTAGTACAAATCTCAGTAAGAGACTCTGTCGAGGTCTGTGAGCACACAAATAAGTCTTAATGGCCCTCAGCAGCCTAACTTCAAGATTCTACCCACACCCTCTGACTATGAAAGCCATTTTAAGTGCTGCACGGAGTCTCTAGGTGCCTAGGCTATGTTGTACAAATATTGGTCTCCAGTTCACCTACAGTAGTGCCTCTGCCCTGCCATAGTC